TTTTTTCGCAATTACGAGACCTATTGTTTCGAAACTCTAACCTCAAAGTCACACGCGTCGTTCCCCTGTAAAACATTTAAAATTCTCGTTCTCGCGATTACTATTTGCGACGAATTCCACCGTTTCCAAAACAAACGTTCTTCGAAACTAATTTCGAAACGGAACCAAGTGCTCTTCGAGACAAAAGAGCATATATCAAGAGAGATAAAGTGTCGTTTAAGCAGGGACGAAATCTCTCTTCGCCTTTAAGGTGAAGCAGGTCGAAATTCTAAACGGTTTCTGGATAAGTTTCGAGGGTGAAATAAATTGATTGAATATTGCGTGAATATCCCCGATTGGAAGATCCATTCCTTGATCTGTCCATCGACAGGGGACAGATATTAAAACGAGACGAACAAGTGCAACGGAGGGGAGAAAAGGGGTGTTTCGAATATCGCGAGAGAAATAGAGAAATCGTAACATTTTCTCGACGGAGAGATATTATCCGTGTTGATTTTTTTCTCTTCGTGTACGTTGCTCGAAGTGATTTTTTTCAAACGCGCGATTTATTATTTCTTCCATCATCGTTGACGACAAACGATGGGAAAAGATCAAAGAATTTTTCCGGAGAGAAAGCGAGGAGAAATTGTTTGAATCGATGATCGATGCTTCGTAATTGCAATTATTACCTTTGATGGATTAATTATAAGTATACACAGCGCACGTTTCGTATAGATGTGTACGTATAGAGAAAAAAAAGATATATTATAAACCCCTTTGTCGAACCCGATGAGAAAGATATATTTTTTTCCATGGTTTAAAATTGAAAATGTAAATGGGAATAATTTGAACTCGTAAAATCGATTAGCCTGTAGGGAAAAGTTGGGAAAAGTTGAAAGGGGAAAAGTTTGTTGGGTGGAAAAGTGAGAGAACCTCGCTCTTTTTACGAGATGTTAAGTCTCTGTAGGTTTATATCCTTTTCTTTCCTCTTTCCCTCCCTCCTTCCCCCCCCCCCTCTCCTTTTCCCATGTTAAAACGTTTCACGTTCGATCGTGGAAAATGTAAAACAGATCCCGAATGTCATTCATAAATAAAGAAAGAAAGAAAGAAGGGTAGAATTTTCAGAAGAGAGAGAGAGAGAGAGAGAGAGAGAGAGAGAGAGAGAGAGAGAGAGAGAGANGAGAGAGAGAGAGAGAGAGGATTTGAAAGCAACGCAAAGCGAATAAAAATCGCGTAATATATTTTATTAAAAAAATCAATTGCCAACAAATTTAAGGCACTATTTGATAATCAAAATTGGGAAATATTTGTACGCGAAAAATAAAAAATCGAGAATAAATTCATCCGAATAACTAATTAACCGCGTCTCCCTTTTTCACTCCTTCGTATAAAGCCACGTTCCAACGATTAACTCTTATCTCGTCCACCTGGCAAGCGATGTTAATAAGACTAACTTTCCGTATGTAATCCACGTAGAATGTGGGCGTGATACGAAACGAGTAAAAAAAAAAAAAAAAAAAAGAAAAAAGAAAGAGAGAGAGAGAGAGGGAAAGAAACGCAAGAGAAGGAATGGTACGAGAAATCCTTCGCCACCATTTTTACGTACGATTCTTATTAAAACGTACACCGCCTAATAAATTATACGGATCACATGGAAATAGAAAAAGCGAGATTCGAGGAATTAAAATGCAACGAGGGAACAAATTAGCGCCGGTCGGGGAAAACAAATTCTTAGATTAACGTCTCCTCGCTTGACTTTTTCTTCTTCCATCCACGTGAGAAAGGAAGAAAGGAAGGAAGGAAGGAAGGAAGGAGAGGTGTAAATTTCATTACGCGAGGATCGTTCGTTCGCCTTACATAGCGCGTACGTTTTGCATTTTGAAGAGAAAGAGAGAGGGGGGAAAAAAAGAAAAAGAAGAAAATAAACAAATAAAGAAATTCTCTTACGGAGAGACAGGAAGGGGGCGGAAAAAATTGAAAGGAATTTTTCAACGAACAATGGATATTAATCTCGCTTGTTCTTTTTTTCTCTCTCGTTTCTCGCGAAACGTCGTTTCCATGTAACGCGCGTAGTAACAGGAGAATTTCTTTCTTCCTTTTTTTTTTTTTTCCCAAGTCCAAGACCCCTCCCCCCCGCGCGCGTAAATTTCTTTCGACATCGGGTGGCAAAAGTTTGCAAATTGATTTAAAAACCTTCGTGAGGATCCTCGTGCGAAACTTGACAAACTTCCTTCTTCGAATAAGGTCTTCTCTTCTCTCTCTCTCTCTCTCTCTCTCTCTCTCTCTCTCTCTCTCTCTCTCTCTCTCCCTCCCCCTCCACGAAAGAGAGGAAAGGTGAAGAGGAACTGGAAACACAAATGACGAAACACACGAAGTGACGAGTAACGACGCGTTTCGCGATTAATTAACCGCGAATGGGGACGCGTTTCCGAGATTTTTATCCATCTCTCGGCCAAAGGGAAGGAGGGAGGGGACGAAGGACGAAGGATATTCGCGCGGCTCCTCTCCGATCTCTTTCCAGAGTCAGTTTTCTCGTTGGAAAAAATAGGGGAAAAGTAGGAAGAGGGAGGAAAGGGTGGTCGGAAGAATAAGTTGGTGGAAAGAAATTCGGTTCAATTGGACCGAAAGAGGAAATTCCTGTTTCGCCGTATGAACCTCGTTTACATCGGCCAAGTTTTCCAATATTGAGATGAACGGACTTAATACACCTGCAACCAGGGAAATATTCGAAGGGAGGACTAAGCTGGGAGGCCGGCTCGTCGCGATAAGAAGAATGGCGCAACTTTGCCCCTCGCGAAAAATTGTTGTCGATCGTCGATCCGCTTCCGCGGTAACCACTCCTTTCAACTTTGAATTTCTCTAGTTTCTAACGGAAACGGTGTTTCGAATTTTAAATTTGGACCGAAAAATTTGAACCCATCCCCCCGAATTCATTTTCCCTCTCACCTTATCACGCACGAATTTACCTCGAATTTGAATATTTCAATTATTTAATTCGAACGAATTTGACGACGAACGGAAATGAAAATTGGAATCGGAGAAGAGAAGAGAAAAGAAGTGAAAAAATTTACGGGCGCGATTGCGTCACCGGCACACAACTATTCACGTCTCGATTACGTTTCGTGTAAGAGGAGCAATATGTCTCACTTTCGAGCCGTGAGACGCGTATCCTCTTGATTATACTTTATCTCGTCCACCTACGCCATCGATATTAAGACGAACTGCCGTTGCATCACGTCCAGCGGATACTCGATACCCGCGCCGTTTCCAATTCACCACCACGGATCCAATCGCTTCGCTCTCCGCGACCATCCTCCGCGATCTTTCTTTCCGCGTCATTGTTCCTTAAGGTCGCCGATCAAAGGAAGAAAAAAGGAAGAGAGAGAGAAAGAGAGAGAGAGAAGAGAGAGGAAAAAAAGGAGAGGAGAGAGGGAGAAAGAGGAGAAAAAGAGAGAAAGAGAGGGAGGAGAGAAAGAGAGAGGAAGAGAAAGAGAAGGAGGAGAGAAAGAGAGAGGAAGAGAGAGAGAGAGAGAGAGAGAGAGAGAGAGAGAGAGAAGGAGGGAAGAAAAAATGTAGTAGAAGCAAGGGTTTGCTTACAACGAAACGTCCGACGTCGATAAAAATTTTCGCACGATCTGCAGAAACGCGTTAACAGATTCTGGACGAGGCGAGGAAGTGGGCGATAAAAATTTTTACTCGGAGCGTGCCGCTTCGATTATCGTCGGCCCGAACAAGAAATTTTCCCGATATCGCGATAATAAAAGACGATACGCGCTGGGGATGCGAGATTAGGAAAGGAAAATCTCTCGGGGGATGGCGGAAAAACAGCCAGGTGGCGTCAGCAGTGTGTAACCGTGATAAAACTACGGAATAGAAACTATGGAATAAAAATCCTCCTCGGTTCTACTCTTCCTATCCTACCTAAGAATGGAACGGTTTTAAAAGGGAACGAATGAAAAAAAAAAGAGAGGAATAAACGGTGGAAAAGTACGAGAAACGAGTGAAACGAGACCCGATGATTGTTACGGGTTACTCGAGACTAATTGAATATAAATGATCGATGGAATCGTTTTAGGGAAGAGAGAGAGAGAGAGAGAGAGAGAAAAGAAAAAGATAAAACAAAGTTGATTTTGCCGAGTGTGAAACGTTGGAGAATGTGAGAATTCAGACAGGTGGATTCGATAAGTGGTCGTGTAAATGCAATTTATCGAACATCGTCGGAGACGCGTGTGCGAAATCGCGTTGGAAAGGGAAGAGGAACGTTGGAAAACGGGAGGGAATGATAAAAGAAAAAAAAGAAGAAGAAAAAAGCAAATGTGAAAATCTCCGTGCAAAATTTGTGCAAAAATTTAGGAACGAAAGACCTTGATTGGTTGGTTGTACCTGAAACTTGTTAATGGCGAGTAATTAACGCGGCGAATAATCATCGACTGTTCGTGATGCGCCATCCGAACGACAAACGGGGGTCTAATGAAACCGAGTTAAACTCTCTCTCGAGTCTCCATTATCCTCCATCGTTTTACCGAATCGGCGGAACGATGAGAAAAATTGGCCGTTTTTCAAAACCCTTTTTGAAAACCGCGGGATCAGAAGTTGAACGAACCTGTTCAATTTTGCCTCGATATAGATCCAATCTAACGTCTGAATCTCTCTCTGCTTATTATAGAAAATTGCGTTGAATAAAAAAAAAAAAAAAAACACGTTAAAAAACGAGAAGTTGATCGAATTTGTACGATTCGCTCGTCTCAATCGAACGGAACAAGCATTCGCGAGTCGCGATGAAAAAGTGAATTCTACGAATTATAAGCAAAATCATTCGAATTGGAAAAAATAAAAGAGAGAAAGAGAGAGAGAGAGAGAATGAAAAGCGTGGAGCGCGGCGCAAAAACTGATCGATCGGTCGCTCACGGTTGCTTTCACTTTTATCGCGCGAAAAATCACCCTTCCTCTTCAACTGTGAAAACTACAAACATCACCGCGCACGCAATCAAAAATCAAAAATAAATTTTCATATTGCATACCTGTTCGCGCACCAGTCACGTGGCCAGTCACGTAGATCGTTCGAACGACGAAGATGGATAGGCCTTGGATCTTCGTCCAACCGTATTCCTCTATGCGATGCTTCTGTCCGATCTTCACCGAATTTTCTAGTAAAAAATAATAATGAATTGGGAAAAAAATTTTCGATCCAACGCGTGATGAATAAATATTCTAATTTATTTTAATATATTATCCAAAGTTTTTCCAAAGATTTTCCACTTTGACGAATTGTTGAATTGGAGAGAAGGCTCGGTCGTCGATATCGAGCCACGATCTTTGCGATGTAATTTTAATTCGCCGCAGAGTTAGCAGCGCGCCTTTTCCCCAAACCCATTCAAAGCCCCCGAGAGTTTAGAGCTCAGCAGGAAGCGGGGTCAGGGAAACGTTTTTCCGATAACTTGCTCGAGATAATGGTTCAATGGCTACCATTTAAACACAACGCTCGACTGAATAACCCAGGCTAACGCGACCTTTAGAACCTTCTCGCTTTTCCCCTCTAACCGGAATCGTGTTTACCGCGAAGATGCGCGACTTTCACGATTCACTCTTTCGATGGTACGCCTTCGTCTAATCGAGCCATTATGCAACCGTGTAATACACGACACTCCGGTCGAACGACCAACTTGTTTCACGTCGCGTTTCAATAAGCCAGAAACCCGACTCATCTGATCGTGTTGGTCTCTCTTGTGATCGAGTTTCCTATCTCGACTATATATTAATAAAAAAAAAAAAAAAAAAAAAAAANAAAAAAAAAAAAAAAAAAATGCACCAGCGTGTTGTTTGTCACGAATAAAAATAAAAAAATATTTCCTCGTGCAAGGAAACTAGAGACAAGAGTACGTCTGAGCGTTACCTCGAACTGCGAAGAAACAGAATTCGGGGCACGGAGTTAAAGAAAGAGAGAAAGAGAGAGAAAAAAAAAGTGGCGTAAATCAGCTCGTTTATTACCACGCGTCCATTACCACTCGTAAAAACTTCTCGCGAGAGACTCGACGGCGATTTACGATGTTCGATCTACCACCGACCGAAGATGATATGATTCGACTCTGCTGCACCGGTTTCTATATCGCGATAGTCGGTCGCACAACGACAGATCTTCCACGCCAGTTAACCTATGCAACGTCACAGATCGACTTTGAAGTTGCAATGAGACGTGGCGACGTGGAAGACCGGTGTTTGTATCTTAGAAACGTCCGAGGCGCATGCCTTATCACCACGCAAATACCGTAAAATTACCGACATTATGCAACAAACCATTCGGTTCCCTTATGACAATGTTACGTGCGAGAATTATCAAAGCAATAAATAAAATTAGCCTATTATTTATAGAGGAAAAATCGTGCGCCGAGTCGTTTTCTTACGAAAACACGAATTTTTCTGAATTACGTGAAAATACGCTATTTTTCTTCCTCTTCTTTATCTCTTACTGCTAATAATTGTGGTTGCACTAATTGCCGGTAGCCTCTTACGTCAAAAATTCACGAAGAGGCTTTCGATCGCGGTAATATCTTTTTTATGGAAATATTCTTAGGCGATCGAGATAAGAGCTCTCCGGTGGTATCGAATCGCAAATACAACGTGTACTTTTTAACAAATTACCGCTTCTGAAATACCCGTTACGAACCAATGTTAATGGACATTTCGCGGATTTATGCAAGTCTCGAAGTTATTAAAATAACGAGAGTCTGGTAACTGTTACATCACCGGTAAACGAAGTCCATGGTTATCGACGCGACAAGAATTAACGCGAATATAGGTAAACAGGTAGGCGAGATCGACTCGTCGAGCTCGACCACAATAAACACGCAACCGTTTATAATTTTCGCTCGACTCTTATCGCGAGATAAGCGTATCGCACAACAATCTATCGTAACAATGTAGGGACGCGTGAAAAGAGAATACCGAGAAATTTATATTTACTTTTTTTTCCACGTAAACGTTCCACGCGACAATACGCGAAGAAAGAAGACAAATAATATATGTGCGTAGTGAATGGAAGAACGAATAAATACGCAATAAACGAAAGAATCGTGATAAACGCGTTAAACGAAAGACTCGATGACACGCAATAAATCAAGACGAACGTACCGACGAAGAAAAGGAAGAAAGTGTACAGGCAACGGTGATTCGATATAATTTCCCTCTATTTGAATTTCAACGAGCTTCGATCCAGTTTTTCGGACGATCACGCGAGCACGCGAGCCGGACGACGCATCGATGCACCTGTTCACAATATTCGGCGAAATATAAAATCGTAACGAGGTATTGGTATCACGCGAACCGGTCGGGTGAAAGTAACGCGGCACGAAGAAGCACGTGGCACGACTGTTTTCGAGAAACCCGTAACAAGACAATGTTCACGCGACGAGAGCTCGCTGCTCACTGACGCGGTGACGCCGCGCAGGGTGGCTTTACCCCCTCTCCGCGCTCTCTCCCCACCACACCGCACCGGCCCGCGTAGAATAACTCATCGGTTTCGAGCGACGGTTTCGAATTGTTCGTATAAATCCGTATTCACTGCGAATATTTTTCAATGTAAATGAATGTTTCCCTCCTTTTTTCTATTTTCCTTCTTTCTTGTTTTTATTATTCGTATCGAAATGGAGAGCCTATGATTCGATAAGCGAAAAGTGATAATTGTTAAATATTCTTTTTTAAAATAATCAAATTAATAAATAATCAAGTATCAACTTAATATCAATGGTCGATTTACGATTATGATTTTAATTCAAGAAATATAGAATAGGATTAACATTGGAAAATTTTTCACGTTCCACGTTTTTAAGCTGAAATTAATCTCGCAGTTTTACAAAATTACGAACGATCCTTTTGGCTGTCTGTAGGATTCTATTGTGTGCCAGTTACATAAAATTACGCAACCGGTAAATTAAATTTTTTATTACGTATTTTTCAAATGTTTGCAGCTTCCTGTTTAGAAGAAAAAAGGAAATATTGAATATAGTTGCTCGTTATAAATAATTATGTAATTTTTATGAATATTTATATAACGATTTTGAAATGTTTAAAAAAAAAAAAAAAAGTTAAATTTTACTTGATTTCTTTTAATTATTCAGCCACACTATGTTAAAAATTTCAAAATATCGAGTATTTCTTCATTCGTATTAATATTCCTAACGATATATTTTTAGATCTGAATACAAGAGTTTCCTCTAGCAATTAAACAAGATAGATTTCGCAGATAGAAAATGCGACGGGAAATATTTTACGACAATTGATAAACAATTGACATAAATGTTAAAACTTTTAAGTTTTTTCGAAAAAATACGAGACATCGTAACTAAATAATATAATTTAAAAAAGTTTCGCAATTTCTTTTTTTGTAATTTTCGTACCTTATCACGACACGGAGAAATTTGTCGAATCAATTATCGTAATCAATTATAATCCTCCCTATACGCAATATCCTCCCTTCCCTTGATTTTTAACAATACCAACACCCCGTTTTCTATAAAACGAAGAAAATGAAAATCCGAGAAAATCCTCGTTCGATTCGTTCAAACAACGACATCAACTGCATCCCACCTAACTCAACAATCCTTCTCAACTCCCGAGTGAACCGAGACAATCTCCAGTTGGTATATCCAGTCGCGAGTCGTTAATCAATTTAAGCTGGCAATCTCGATCGACGAGGAGACACGACGGGGCTGATTCGAGAGCGTAATTAATACGGGGCGGTTGTTCTATCCGACCGAGCGGAGTGACGACGAGATAGGAAAGGGAATAACTCGAATCCAGATGACGATTCTGACCGATGAGAAAGGCGACTCCGAGGGGAGGAAGAGAACCGGCAGTAAATGCAAACGACTTGACCCGACCCGGACGAAGATCGGATCGAGACAAGACACGTACACACCGTACACCGCTCGACAAAATGCTGCGCTCCCTGTCCAATAAACGGATTCTCTTACGTGGAACGTCCGCTACGAGCAATCGTCGCGCGTCATAAGAGCGCATAAGCCGAAGCACAAAGGAAAGATCTCCGTGACCTCCCCCCGCACTGTTGCAAATTCAATTACCAATCGGTTATTGAGCGATCGAGACACCTTGCGCCTTTTGTCTTCACCTTTATTTTTCTTTATTCTTTTCCTTTATTTCTATTTCCCTCCCTCTCTTTGTTTTTCTTTCTTTATTTTTTGAGAAAAATAGCTCCATTGTTCGATTCCAGAAACTCTTGAGAATATCCTTGGGTCGAATATTATTTCGAGTGTCGAGATGCTGCGTGATGAAAAATAAGGTGACGATAATTCGATTCGATCGATGATTGTCGAGTGAATAATGTGGAAAATAAGGAGGAAAGAGTTAGAATTCTAAGTGGAAAAAAAAAATATTTCGTTTTTCAGAGTTCGTTGCAGTAAAATTGTTTTTCGAGAAAATTCTCCAAGATTTCGTATCGAAGGGAACGAATAAGCGCGAAATTTTGAAGCAAACCGATTTAAAAAAGATGCAAAATATTTTTCCATCGAGAAAATTCAGAAATCAGAATTTAACGACTAATCTAGATTCATAGAAAGGATATCGTTATTCAAACAGACTACGCCAACCCCATAAATTATGAATCAGCATTTAGGCACCTTTTCAGAGAGTACAATATAGGGGAAGAGGGAGGAAAGGTGGAGAGGGGGATGCACGAACGACAGATTCTTATGCTGATCTGCCAGGCAAACAGCCCTAAGCGGCCAAATTTTTGACCGGTTCGACGAAATTTTAATGTTTGCTCGAACTAGTCTGCATACCAAACATCGATCAAGATTCCCTGCAGACGTTTCAACATGCACTGCGCCCAAATTCGTGGATTTTGGAACGCGATCCAATCTTTTCAACATTACTCCCTAGAACGAAAAAAATAAATAAATAAATGAAAATAAATAAAGAAAATTACGATATTTCGATCTACGGATCCTTCGTAACTCGTATCATCCCCCGTAAGCATTCTGGAATGGAATTTGATATCCAAATTTCAAATACAAATTCCTCGCGAAATAATACGCAAACATCGTTAATCGACGTTTAAATGAAAAAAGAGGAAAGTTAATAAGAGGAACGTTTAAAAAAATAGGTATCAATCACGATGATCAATCAAAAATTTTAACAGCCGTGTTTTGTCACTTGAATAAACATCGTGTTTACCGGCACGTTTCTGCTACGATCCATTACAAAAATTGACTCGTCTGATAACACTGGATAATAACGAAAAGAATAATTCGTAAAGAGAGCATGATAAAAAAAAAAAATTAAAAAAATATATTATTTCTATTCAACGAAATAAGAATTCCTTACCTGACACGAAAAATTACCCCCACGAATTCTTCCTATTTCGATGATGAATCTTGTTTCAAACGTACTCAGCATGCATACGACTCGAACATCTCTAAGAAAAGCATAAAGAAAAGAAAAGAAAAATAGTTAATAAATAATTCAGATATAAAATATGTGTAAGAAACATCCGGTTCTAAATTTCATCACATCCTAAACCGAACCCCCTTGCCTCTAATTCCCAGATCCTTCCCTGTCTAGAAAGATTCTCGAGGGAACTTCCAGAAGAAGAATTCCCAATGAATCCTTGGTAAAGAGTTAAGAGGCAATGGTATTCGGTATCTCGGTCTTCGACCGAGTAAGTAAAAGGAAAATAAGGAGCATACAGGAATCCTTGGAGGAACGGAATAAAATCGTGATTTCCATCTAACCGTTCGAATCACCGGTGTAATCTCTCCTCGATGGGACGACAGGTGGATACGGGTATCGCGGTCGCCTTATTTTTTTTTTTTTTTTTTTTTTACGACGAAACGTCGTCTTTCCATATTTTCCTTCCCTTCTTTTTTTTGATGACACCGCCTCTCAAAGTTTCACGTCAGACGCGCGCAGGGATACGAGCAATTTAAATTTAATGCCCTTTTTTACATCCACCCTGCGCCACGCGCAACCCCTCGTCACATCCCCTCCCTCCCTCCCTCTCCCTTTCACTCGCTCCCTTCATCTCCATATTCGTATCCACCCGCCCGCCATTCTCTCACACCGACCGACGGCGTCCCTCCTCGCGCGATCTTTATCTCCACAGATTGCCCGACTTCCAAGGGAGCAACCACGGCCACTCTTTTCGGGTCTATGTTTGAAAAGAGGAGACGACCGCTCTCCCGGTGGCCAGAGAGATCGATCTAGATATCGCTGTGTCAACTCGCTCCGACAAACAACTCGCTCGAAATTTGTATTTTTCTTCCTTTCTTTCTTTCTCTTTTTTTTTTTTTTTTCACCACGTGTGGATCACGAGAGTATAGGGACAGGGATGGAGTCGTGAGGGGTAGGTGAGATCTCAGAACGGTCGAGATCGACCCTGAGAGAGGCTTGAGGCCAATTCTACGAACCGTAGATAATATTGTTTCTATGGGAGGCTGCGTTATGTAGGGTCATTGCATAATGAAAAGGCCTTTCTCCAACCAAGATTTCTTTTTTTTTGTCTATCTAGATATTTTCGTGTCGCGAAGAGACAGTTTAGCTTTTCCAATTTTTCGAACAAATTGTATATTTGTCGATGTTATTTGAGTAGACTTGAGAGGAAACGATGTTTATCGCGAGACTAATTTTAACTTCCTTTTCATGAAGTAGGTCATTAACGTTATCTAAAAATGATTTGAAAAAAAGAAAAAGAAAAAACGGAATCTCGTTGTAAAAACTATTAACTCTTACGAAACTTACATTGTTTGACGATATATTTCAGGTAAGAATCGTCTCGTCAACGAGGATAATCCCGGAATCGGTTAAATAGTCGAAGGTAGTCGGAGATTTCGAGGAAACACGTATCAGGAAAATTGACCAAGACAGGAAAGAAATGTTCGTAGAACGTTCAACAACGGCGAACAATTCGGTCCGACGTGACAAGTTTCGAGGAAGAAAAATTCAGCTCGAAACGAGATTGTTTATTCAAACGCGTCCCCTTGCCGTAGAAGAAGAAAACGGTGGAAACTGGTGGAAATTCTACTTTTCTCGAAATTCACGTTTCACTCGTACGCACGATTAATAAATAACACGAATGGGAAGGTTGGAATATACCGTATATATATATTCGTATTATAGAGAAGAAAAACGATCGCGCGAGGAACTGCCTCTATTTCCCCTGATTGCGAATAACTCTGTGAAATTGCCTGTTGACACGTGTCCAGGCAAGGAGTCGCGATAACCCGCGTTTTTATTAAAATAACTCACACACATTGCCGGCCAATAACTAATCAACCAGATCAAAAATTTTCCCGCATAGAAGGAAAACAGGATGCTGCGCGAGAGAAGATTTAATCGGCCGCGCGACGACAAAATTAAAAATTTTCAACGTATGCTGATCGATCGTTACGATGATGGCGGAGGAAACATTAACAAAATATATATATATATATATATATATATACTCCGACCATTTTCGAAAAATTGGTACGTAGCAGAGATTGCGAGTGTTCCCATTAAAATTCAAACCATTTTCTCGATAATCGAATTTCGCATTTTCACAAAATAGTTGCAGCGCATTTTGTAAAGATAAAAAAAAAATAAAAAACAACAAAATGCGCGGAACGTCAATGCGATATGGAACGATAAAATGGAAAGTGACGAAAAATCATAGAACAAATTCGAGGCGTGAAAATTACTCGTGTCGCGATTCCATAAGAGTCCACGCGTAATTTCAGTAATCGGTATCGAGCTGAATACCGTAAAAAAAAAAAAAAAAAAAAAAGAAATTACTAATATATTCAACTACGCGGTAACGTTCAATTTACGATATAGAGAAATATAATTTAACCGTTCAACGAGCCGTTTATTTCGATAAAATTTTTCTTCGTCGTACGCATTAATCTCTCGGGAAAGAAGTTTACATATATTTATAGAGATTATCTTTTCTATTCGATAAATGACGCGCTATAAAAGCGTTTAAATTCTAAAGATTAGTTGGCTTAAAATTAATCGGAAAAAAAATACGAACGAGGCCAAAATAAGAAAAACTGACGACGATGAAAAATAACAATTTTCTAGATTTTCTTATGTGTGTACATATATATATATATATATATATCTCGTGAGATTGCTCCGAAACAGAACGAAAATTCCGCGATGAATTATTCACGAAGATATCTCGACCACGAAAACACCGGTCAACTACTTTTTTTTTTTTTTTTTTTTTTTTTACCTCTATCTCTATTCTCTCTTCTCGAGACGTGAAATTAAAAAACCGGACCAGGAATAGAACGCGTGAAGAAGTTTTGAAATTTTCGAGAATTCAAGCTTCTACTTGTAACTGTAGAAACACTCGAGGCGAGGAATATTGGAATCCGTACGGGGTTGCGCGAGAGACATCACTGTCTCATGCATGCGTATTCCATTTGCATCGTGAGTCTTATTAACGTACGTTCCAAACGCAATACCGTCGTGTCACGTTCCTTTATTAAATTTCGATGTTGCACTTTCGTTTTCCTTCGTTTTCTCTTCTTTTCAATCTTCCGTGAATTATTTAGAAAAATCTATCCAAGATTCACGCTAATGGGAAACGTTGATTAATATCTTAATGGAAGAAAGCGAGAATCGTAGAAAAAAAAGTATTTCGAGAAAAGCCTTTTTTCTCAAATTTTCCAACGATTTATTATTAAAATAAAACAGGAAATCAGGATCGAAAGCTATTCTGAAAAATTGAAAGAGTAAAATAATTTTTTTCTCGTTTTAATAATCGAGATAACTATTTTCAAAATTGAAATTTTGAGCGACTCACAATGGGATATTTTTAAGGAAAAATTGTTAATAGTGACGAAACCTTCTTTTATTATCGCCTTCTTTTCGACCGAATTTTTATCGTCTATCGGAAAAAAAAACAATGTAGGAAGTTTGAGTGCGGGGCCCGTATTTAGAGAATCATGTTTCGAATTCGTTCGTTTCGAAAGTTGATAAGAAAGACGGGCGAATGTTCGTTTCTATCGTTGTGTATCGCGGCCCGTGAAGATAATACTCGGATACGTCAATGAGTTAGAAAGTGGTTAGTAACGAGTGCTCGTTAAAAATCACGGGAAGCGACGAAGAGGAAGTGCGCCGATGAAACGTCAAGCGTGTCGCATGCAGCTAATAGAAATTTCTGTCTATTGTAACAGCGTTTCCGATCGCTTTTCTATTATATCTACGAATCATTATGCCAGCCGAATATTTAAGTGATATACTTCTCGCATATGCAAAATCAGTTTATAGTTCTTTTTTTAAAAAATCTTTTATGGCGCTTTCTAAACTGCTCTCGATGGTAGTTTAGAAAGAAGATGATCGTGACGAAAGTGGAAAGTGGAAGATGGAAAGTTGAAAATAAATGTAACGTCCATCAAGATCGATATTTTCTCGTAGATTATATCTTATTTTGATTACATTAGCGATAAGCCAATTATGAATCAAATTTCATAAATCACAAAGTGGTTGAACTACGATTGTGATGAAAAATCTTAGAAACTACGAATACGTAATGGGTCGATACATAATATGCACGATTCAAGCCTTTAGAAATGTCGTTCGCTGACATATAAAAACGATTGCACAAGAATCCTCTTCAACCGTGCAAAAATGAATTCTAACGGTATACGCGAGTTACCGCGAGAACCGATGTAAATTTAATGTTGATATCTTCGTAAGAAGTTAGATGAGATAAGGAAAACCTGGAGAAAACCTGGATAAATGAAGTATACGAAAATTTTCATTTCGCGCAATATCACTGTCTGAATGAAACCTTGAACGAATCTTTGAATATATTTAAATTATCTATCTAAAGAAATTTGATAAAAAGAATGGAACTTTTTGATCTAATTATAAAATATATACGTTTCATTAACTTTATTAATAACATATTTATATACATATATATAGTTTGAAGAAGAAAGAACGAAAAGAGAACGAAGAATATTTTTATCTATATTTGTATAAAGAACTGTTAGAAAAGGTCGATCCCTATCTATTCACGTGATACAGTTGTAACATATTTAACCGTTATCAATAATTTAGATATAACATGTGTTAAATATATGAATATCGGTTCCACAAAATCGATAATTAGTTACGTCATCAATTTAAAAATTGATGTACACTAGTGATAATAAAGTAAAGTCTTTTATATTTTAATAAAAAATTATTAACTTTAAAACAAAACATTTGATAAAAAAATATATATGTGTAAAAAAATAAAAAAAGAAAATGAGGCAATAAATCTATCGCGTATTTTTTTTTTTTTTTTTTTTCATAAAACTTTTCAGAGAGTTACATTATCAAGCGAAAAGAAATCTTTGTACCTTCGAGTTCGAAATCCATTTCAACAGATGGTGTTCTCATCGTGCAAATGACTACGACACGAAATGAAATCTACCAGCATGAACAATCAATGATTAAAACGACTTTTTGACAACAGAAATTAAAAACCGAGTTCAAAGTGATTATATTATTGTATTTATCGGTATAATTAATTTTTTAATAATATCGAGGTGACAACACGATCAAGGGAAAACCAAAGTTTCATGATGTATCGAGAAAATTTTCTTTAAATTTTCTTTCGTTATTGATTATTATGAAGCTCCTGAATTGTGGAGTGAATAAAAATGTGCTCTTCTAATCAGTCGTTAATTGAAAGGTTATATAAAAACGAACGACGTCAGATGGCCTTAAATTTAACTTGACGATTATTGTTATAATTATTCTTGTCATCAGATGTTTATATTTATAAATTATAAAATAATTATACGCAATTTTCGTAGTGAGACGGAAGATTAATGTATATCGTTTATATAATTGACGTAATTCTTGTAGAAAGATTAGAGTAAATTTTTAAAAAAATCAGACAAGATGGGATCGGAACAGAGCTCTCAGGGTGGTACTCACAATACCAATGCTAATAGGACAAGAAATATACCATTGAGACGCGGTAAAAGTGTACCGAATCGTGAAAGAGTACCGGAAGACACACCACCTAGATGTACCAGTCCTGGTGCAAGCATTTGTTCAGATTCTGATTTACCATATATATCTTATACTGTGAATAGACCTATTGGAGATTCACCAAAGATGACAAATAAGCAATCACAGTTATATAGAGGCAAGAGTTTGGGTGCACAAGATATATCTAGACGTAAAAATAATTTAAATACCAATAGCTACAGGTAATATATAATTATTTATAATTAATTATGATTTTGTCTATTTTAATATATTTTATTTGAATAATAATTCTTACAGAAAAACTACCTCTGATAAAATACACAATATAGTAGTAGTGAAATCAGCTGTGGCAGATCCTACAGCTGACAAAGATCCTGACTTGGTTAAATTACAAAGTATTCCCATGTTCCTACCTATCATGCGTGGCACTCTCAATTTGCCTCCAGGTGTAAGAGATCCAGAGGTCCTAGAAAGACTTAATCCTATTGGCCTGTTTAATCTGTGTGCACGTTATCAACATCATCTGAACACTAATGCTCAAATGATTGCCACTGAACAAGCTAATCTATGCATTAATATCGAACCAGAAGTGACCAAAATTCTTAATTTGGCAACAGAAAGGCAAAAGAAATTTGCCAAGTTTGCTGAACAACTGAACAAAATACATGAGCTTAGTAAACAATTAACTAAATGCCATTCTCTTCTAAATCAAACTCTAGAAAGCCTTGAAACTTTGAACAATCTTTTACCAATTGAAGATAGATTAGAACCATTTGTATGGACTACTGGATAAAATTCATATTAAAAAGTATATTGAATGTAGTTTTGGAAAATCACACATTGCACTGGTGCTAAGAAATAATTTGAATTAATTCGATACAAAATTTGTTAAAAATTTGTTTTGTTTTTTTTTATCAAACATGATGAAGTTATTTACTAATAATTTACTATTTGAAAAACCTCTATTTGAAAAAATTTCTAGTACCTATACATGTGTTGCACAGAAATCTTGTCTATATGAATATATATATATATATATATATATACATATACATCTATTTTCATGTTAATCTTAATAATTGTATAATTGTATAAAAAAATAATGTGATGCTTCAAAAATACATACAGTTTACTTATGATAAAAAAATTGTACATTTTATTAAAATAAAAGTAAATTTCACAATTACAATAAAACGATTCATAGCAATCTTGTAAGAAAACAACAATATAAAAAAAAAAATCTACATAAAAGTATAACATTTTATAATCATTTACATACCCTAGTTAATACCAGCAGATTTTTGTGCTTTCAATATTCTGTATGCTGCTATAACATCATTCTGTTGTTTTTCTAACTGTCTCCTTTCTCCAAGTGGTAATTTTTTACGTTTTCCTGATCTATCTATAGTCATTCTCTTCTTAGGATTCTCCAACTTTGAATTTTCATTCTTTTTGAGCATTGAATAAAGAAGAAGATTCTTTCTACCAGGCTATAGCAAAAAATTAAAGAATTTTTCATCAATATTTAAAAAATATTGAAAAATATTAAAAATGCATTAAAAAATAAAAAAAAAATGTATTGTTAAATTAAAAAACATACTTTAGAGGTATTTATAGTATTAGCATTTTTTGGTTTGATTTTTAATTGAGGTGGTTCATGAACCACTTCTCCAAATTCAACTTGATCTTTATAATTATCAAATTCGTCTAATTTTTCTTCCATTTGTTTCTCTTTCTTCAATTTCAATTTCTCCTTCTTCTTTTCAGTTTTAGTCATTTTGATCTTATTGATATCACTGTTTTTTTTTTTTTTTTTAATATTTTTATGACTCGACTTCAACATTTCAATTTTGTCTAATTCAGTTTGTTCACATTTTGAAACTCCTTCGATGTTTCCTGTTTCTGGATTTCGATTAACTTGAACATCATATTTTTTCTCAAAAGCAAATTCATTAATGAAAACTTGCGTATCTCGATTAACTCTATGTAAAAATCGTTGTTCAGTTTCCCCAGGCCTTTGTTGAAATATAGGAACAACTTTCTCTGGTCTAGCCTTTGGATGTAAAGGCTTAGATTCTTGTTTACCAACGGATATAAGATTATTTTTCTTCTTCTTCCTTTTTTTTATTTTACCTATTTTTCCCAATTTCACTGCCTCTTTTAACTCTATTATTTTTTCTAAACTTTTCGGTATAGCTTGTTCGTTCACATCTTTTGGCGGTGCATTTATTTTTGTTTCTAACCTATAATAGGCAGTTCACTAATCTATGTAAGAAATTCGAGAATAAAACATAGTTAATGCACAACTCACTCTGCCTGACGTTTTGCCTGTTGTTTAAAAGGATCTTTCACACCTCTGTGCTTTTTTCCTGGGATTTTTCGACCCATTTCGAATTTCGATAAACAACGAGACACGATTTTCACGTGGTCGACATTCGTCTACTCGAAAATATAAATGACGCGCGATGATGTTTCATATTCAAAATGTTGTTAAATAGTAATTTTTTAATCATAAAATCAATAAACAATTTAAACAATTTTGAATATAAAATAAACACAAAATTTATAATTAATTTATTAGCTTTAATATGTCTCGTGTATTAAAATTTAAATTTAATTTTATTTCGAACTCAATGGATAACGTAAAATGATGAGAAGATTCTAAAATTATCTACACATCTAATATAAAAAATATATTGGATTTTAAATCTATATTGTATATTGTTTATGATTATAGTGACCAACGAGGTTAGGAAGTAGTTTTTGATATTTTACTAAATATTTTGAACTAATCATCTATAAATTCGTTAATTCGTATATTTCATTAAAATACTTTATTGTATTGTAAACGCTAATTACATAAATAACAATGATTCTATCATTTTATCTTTATTACGTATTTCTCATTCTTTCTTTAATCAGGTAAAACTACAAGGTGTGATAAAATAGTGATGAACCTAATTCAATTTTCTCGATTAATTATCAAAAATAAAAGAGTTAATTGTCAACAAAAATATTTTAAAAAATCTGTCTATGGAACATCATCAACGTTATCATCCGAGGAAAAAATTACTGAAAATAATGAAAATAACAACGACTTCTCGATAGATGATTTATCAGAACCTACGAATTGTTGCATGTCTGGATGCGCGAATTGTGTATGGATTCAATATGCAGAAAAATTAAGTGCTACTCTCAAAGAAAATGACGTAGATGTACAAAAATTAATCATGGACAAAATACAAGATCCTAACATGAAAGCATTTCTTTCAATGGAACTTAAAATTAGAAATATCATTAAAGATTAGGAACATTGTGTATAAAACATATGTATATATATGTATATATGTATATATGTATAAAATGATGAAATTTTAGATAATAAATACTTATGTTAATTTAACTAACTTTAGTCTCGTCTTCTTTTAATTATATTCTTTGAATCTCTTCCAATATTGTATATATGCACTTGTATATTTATGTAGAGTTGTTGAATCTTGAGTTGCGAAAATGTTGTAATTTTAAAGTAATATTATAAAACTGTCTCCCGTGTATATTATCAAGTCGTCGATTTCTTATAATTCAAACAATTTCGTTAACGTTTCATAATCATTCACACTTTTTCTTTTTCTCACAAAAAACTTTGAATCGAATATTCTGCCACAAATTCTAATGTTTCGAAACTGAAACTGTTCATGTTGCGCCATCTGCAAGACTGTACGGCGTCTGTCCAGATGGCGGCAGATGTACGAATGCTGTTTGTATGAAAAATATTTATCCTCATAATTGCAACAAAAATAATGACTATATCACGCTCTGAATCTCCATTCGAGAACTCGGGTCTTTTATTATTTATTCAACTCGTTCCGTTTATGAGATTCCAGAGCGTAGTAACCAGTTTCTACATTAAAAGATAAAAGACATCTGACCATTTCGTTTGTACAACCGCTTGAAATTGTAAACCGAAATATAAGATGTTATTTCTATATTCTCATAAATTTAAATATCGAAAAGAGATAAAAAACGGTAATATAACGATGCCAATAAATTCAATCAAACACAATGTTAAAAAAGGAAATAGCACACAAAGGAATAACTCTGTCTTTTCGCCCGAGTTAAATTTCAATCTCCACTTAAAACGTTTTCATCACCATCACCTATGCTGCAATCTTGTTTTTTAACGGAAACTAATTAAAATAAGTTGAGACTTATCGGCAATGTGTTTTGGTACCTCGTCGTAGCAATAATCTAGTATTACGGGTATTTTTGCGCACCGTTTACATTACATACTCACTTATTTACATTGCATACATATGTATAAAGCCACTTGTGCCGCTTACGCCAGTCAGGAGAATGTAGTGTGACATGTACTGACGTGTTGGCGAACGAGGAGGCGTACATAGCACTCCTTTTTCTATTTCTGCCACTAGTAGTGTAGATATTGACGAAAAAATTCAATAAAGTTCATTTTCATTTTTTTCCATAATTCGATATTTTTCTTCAATTTTTCTTTAAGCAATGAATTCTTCTAAGCAATGAATAGAATTAAAAGAACGTTTAGAACGAAAATAGTATGGATTATTGTATTATGATAAATTATAATTACGTGAATAATTACATGATCGAGCAAAAAAGTTGCTCGTAACGAGAAAGAAAATTTTTTCGAAATAAAAATAAAGTTACCAGTTTTATCGGATTGATTTCTTTACTGAATAACAACCGTTTACCAACCGTTTGCTACAAATCAACAAATTCCATCACATCGAGAGCGTACGTGTTAACTACAAAGTCTCTTGTAATAAACAAAATTCACAGGTTTTCGCATATAAATCGTTCGTTTTCCCTACTCATCAAACAAATGTCAATTCCAATCGCGTAGAAATCATTTTCCACGATTCTCTCGCGTACTCGTCCATTTTCTATTCATTCGTATTAAAAATATCTACTCCGCAGAGACTATAAAAATATTTTCCTACAACAATCCAATTGTTCTTGCCAATCCACGCAGTCGTGGCAAAATTCTCTTCCATCCAATCAAACTTACAACAGCCACGGGCTTGCGAACCTCTACATAACCGTGTACATATCGAAGTTTTTCATCGAAAAAACGAGAGGAGGGAGGGGGGGGGGAAGAAGGGGGGAAGAGTATACCACGGACAATTACAATAATAAAAATCCACGTCGAAAACATTAGACTATAGCGACCTGGCATAATCTTATCTCCGACTCTGCCCACATGTCAAGTCTTTCTACCGCCGCTATGCTCGTACACGGCTCTATTTCCATGCGACCCGCGTGTCAGTGTGACGCATTTTCCCACACGTACACGCGCAAATACAGAGGCGCGCGTTCGCCGTTTGATACACGCGCTCGTGCGTGCTTTTCTACAACATTTATCCAACGTGCACAATACTCGTAAAGTATCCAACGAAATAGCGTTAAACACATTCGGCCCGCAGCAAGTGTGGGTGTCCGAGCGCGAGCGCGCGCGTGTGCGTGGATTATTTTCGCTTATACCGCGGCGCACGCAATCTCAGAAGTGGTTCTCGCGTTGACAGGTTCCGAACGAGTTTTCGCCGGCCTCCGAAGCCACCGATCGGTCAGTGCTTCGACGCCTGGATCCAAGGATCCTCCTCGAGTATCCTCCTCGAAGGATCGAAGGATCAACAGGGAGGAGGAGGTGGAAGAGGAGGAGGAGGAGGAGGAGGAGGAGGAGGAGGAGGAGGAGGAGGGTGAGGAGGAAAAGGAAAAGGAGCTCGCTGGTCGTGATCGCGGTCGATACGAGACCAATGTGACACGCGGACGAATTCTTATGCAACGTTTAAGGTGCACGGTTAACCGGTGCACGGGATAACGGGTCGGAACGGAACGGAAGAAGCTGTCCCCGGGAATTATGAATGATCCTCTTTACGAGGATGGTGAGGAGCCGTACCTCGTGTACCCGATTGCTGGAAATAGCGTGCAATCTGCGCACGGAAACACCGACAACTGGACAAATACGCTTGTTGTTCGCCTCATGTGTTCTACACCAACGTGCCGTCGTTGAGTCGTGACGAAGAGGAATCTCGGACCGGTTGTACGCGTAAGAGTATTCCTTCGAAGTGGAAAAGTTGATTAGAATTATATCTTGATTCTTCTCTCTCTCTCTCTCTCTCTCTCTGCTTCTCTATTTCTCTCTCTCTCTCTCTCTCTCTTTCTCTCTCTTTCTCTCGTTTGAATCACGTTACTGTTGTGCACATGTGAACAAAGAAGAGGGGAGAATGATATTATCGTGGTCATGATGGTCAACGGATGCGGAAAAGTGATAATGGATGACGGAATAAGACGAGAATAAACGATAGCATGCAGAACGATAGTAAAACGAGAAATCGCACGATGCGTGAAATTGGTGGCCGTAGAACTTGGAACGTTTGTGAAACGTTTGATTTCAAAGTTTTGAAGCATTGGAAACGAAGGGACGTTCTTTGACGGTACGCGTCATTTTTCTAACATTCCCTCCCTCTCCCCCCGCCGCCGCTCCGCGCCCCCTCCCCGCAAACTGTCGACGATGGTGCTATCGACGCTTCTCCATGACTCTCTGCATTATCGATGGTGTTAACGAGTTTTCCCAATAGAAAGTTTACGCGCATCGCGCAATAATTCCCTCGAGTAAAAGTAATACGCTCGGCGCGTATTATTGCAAGAATTGCGAAGGATGGAAGGATGAATTTGAATTTAGAAGGGGCGGGACAAAAGAAGAAGAAGAAGAAGAAGAAGAAGAAGAGTTAGTGGAGTAGAGAGTTTGGTGATTACGGATCGTAAATTCGTTGGACGCATACTACATACGCGATGCTGCTGCGCTACGACGTTGAAAAACGTGTTTCAGATTATCGTTGGATTTACAACCTGTGAATCAGCCGGGAGAAGAAAAAAAAAAGAACAAAAAAAAATCACCGTGCAAACTTTTATGATCGCGTTACGCTCGCGGATAAAGCGAGCGTTTCGATCGATCTGCCGCATTGAAAAGCGGGAAAAATTTAAAATCGCGTCCGTGCGATAATTTTTTTTTTTTTTTGAAAGAAAAAAAAGAAAAAAGAAAGAAAGAAAAGGGAACGGAAAAAAAGGATTGAAACGTTAAACGTTAAACGCGACGCGAGGTGAAATATTTCTCTTCGTACATCCGGGGAAGGAAATATATATATATATATATATAAATACAGGGGGAGGAAAAGAGACACAGGAGGAGGGAAAATCGAGATCGTTCAACGAAATGCTAATGAGCGAAAAGAATTGTTCGAGGAAAGAAGGAACAAACGAGGAATTGGGCGAGCATACGATCAGAGACAGTAACAGAGTACCACTGGACGAGCTGCTGGTGAACTCGACGGTCCCTTCGACCACTGTTCCGGTAAAAGTGTGCGATGACTCCGCGGACGAGGGAGGAAGGGACAAGCAGAAACGCGGAATCCTGACCAACTTTCAGAGAAGGACGTTTAGCAGGATCAGTTTCAAGGGAGAATCCGGTCCTCTGCTGAGCAGGTGAATTTTTCTTATTTTTTTTTTTTTTTTTTTTTTTTATGTCGTTAATCGTTAATCTCACCGAACCCACGAGTTCGCGTTTTCGACGATTAATTTAAACGATCATTTCTCTATAATAATAACAATAATAATAACAGCAACAACAACGACAATAACAACAACAACGACAGCAATATTTTTTCTATTGAAACTAACAATCTGCATAAATATAATATACAATTACATAATATACAATTATTGCAAGATGTCGATATCGAAAATATTTCTTATCTTAAGTTTTAAATGGAAGAAAACTTAAATGTACGAATTAGTAACTAGCGATATTTAGAATAGATTGCACAACTTAAAAAAAGTAGTCGCACTCGTTATTAAGATTAGTCGACATTCGAGTATTTTAGTCGACATCAGTCTTTTCATTGGTTAAATAATAAATATATATACATATATATGCGTATATGTGTGTGTGTGTGTGTATGCGTATAAAATATTAAAAGTAAAAAACATTCGATATTTTCTAAACTATATACATCGAAACATGAAAGCGTTTGGTTTCAAAAGGAAATGCTATTTCTTTTTACTTCGTTCCCTGTAAGTACTCTGTTATTTTATTCAACACACACGAAAGCTATAAACACGAGCTTTATTACCATAAGTTCCTACGAAGAAACAAGCGAGAAATGGTTAATAAATTCACTTCATAACGATCCTATTGTTTCTACGTTACAACTTCAGAATGTTCCAAGAAGCGACAAAAAATATTCGAAAAAGTTAAACATACTTAAGAAAAGAGGAGAAAAAAAAAGCATCTTGCTCATAGTATCAAACGAATATCTAATATACTCCAAAAAAAATAATAATAATAATAATAATAACGATAATTCCAATAATTCTCGGATCATTAAACACCATTATCAAACATAATGCATAATTCACTGGAACGTTTTTAATATATCGCGCGTTTAACACGTACACGGGACGAATGAACACGAAAATAATTAACGTGACGAGTGGAAGACAGCGGGAGGTTCCATCTGGAATCGATCCTCCGATCCCTATTGGAGAGGAGCGATAATTGCGCGAAACGATTTTCAGAGGCGCTGTCAAAAATACGCTCGAGGTGAAAACTGGATCACAATACGTGACCCCGCGAAAATAGCGCCCTGTTCCCATTTCCCTGCCACGATCGGCAGAAATCCTGCTTTTCGATACGAGAATAGAAGCGCCTAATTGCGGAAGACGCCTCGACGCCTCGCGTCCGATCATCGTCTACGCGTGCACCATAAAAATCTCCACGAGATTCATCGATTCGATAAAACGTTGAATAGCTTCTTCACTCTCCTAATTTACTCCCCCTTTACTCTTCTTTCTTTTCTTTTTCGTCATTTTCCATTCTCCGGAAGGAATAAACCGAATACAACTTTGTTTCTCTCGTACATTGTTGTATATACAAGTTTGTCGACTCGTATCGAAGAAATGCATTATGGATTCAATTTTCGATTTATTTCCCTCCCAATCGTTCGACGTCTTCGACCGTTTCGTTGACCTCGGGATGATTCGTAAAATTCTTATCGAATTAATTATTTTCGTTCGAAGGAATTTTTTTAATTCGACTTTGTAAAATTTCGTTATTAACTCGTTCGTATTATACGAGAAAAGAAAATATCGCGAATCAACGTTGCACAGAATCTTTATAGATCTTTCAACTTGAAACGATTCTCTATCATTCGTCCTATTCGCAAAATTATAATATCTTCGAAACTATGTGTATAACATCTTCGTCAACAATTTAAAACTCTGATCGACGATTCGGATCACGGAATTGGAAGAAAATTGGAAGCGCGTGAAGAGGAGGGAGCGGAAGAGCAGTTGAGAAAGCTCGGTCGGAAACATGGGCGCGACAAAGGCGGCGTTACAACGAAACGGTGCAACGACTCGTTTTCGAGCGGGTGTCGCGTGTCATCGAGGCTCCATCTCTGGCGAATGGAACGAATCCGATCCGTGAACGGTGCCAAACTTGCGTGCAAAGACAAAAGGGAAATCGTGTACGGCAAGGGTCAAAATTGGATCGCCTCAGTGTCGGTCGAGCCACGGTTCCTCGACGTACCCGTCGTTCGTTCAACGAGACCCGGCAAACACCGGATTTCGATCCGTACGCTCGCCCCTTTCCTTTCTTCAGCGCCGCCTTCCATCTTTTTCAATGATTTCACCCGGTGACGCGACCGTTCTTATAAATAGTCGGCAAAGTGCGTAAATCAGTGACCTCGTGAAAGTTGCTTGCTCCAGGAAATCGGGATCCTCTCTCCCTCCCTCCCTCCCTCCCTCTCTCTCTCCCTCCCTTCCTCCCTCCCTCTCTCTCTCTGTCGAAAAAGAAGAAGGAAATAGATAGAAAGGAGGAAGGAAAGAAGTTCGTTTCCTCATTCGAAGAGAGAGTACTTTTGTTTCTCTGAGCGAGAAGAAGGAGAGGAGCAATCGATCGATCGATTCGAGAGATCGTTCGATCAGAAATGCGCGATCCGCTGTGAGGTGAAAGATATAAAGCGAGAGAGAGAGAGAGAGAGAGAGAGAGAGGAGAGAATTGGAAGGGATTCGAATCGGTGAAGGTGATCCGCGAGGACGAAGAGATACGAGGCGAGATAGCGGAGAAACGGATGTGGTGCAAAAGATTGATCTGGATTTTCCAGTGGCTATGGACGGGCTGCGATATTTGGCTCTGACGATGAGTTCTTTATTCGTCGCGCCTTGACAGCATAACGCTACCTCTTCTCGCCCTCGAGAAACCTTTAAACTTAAGACGGCGAAATTCCGTCGTGGCGAGAGATTTGATTAACTGATATACAACGATGTGCAACGACAGTTTATTTCATCCGATACGAGGGAATCGTCGAGTTTTTCTTCCTCCCCCTCCCTTCTCTTAATAGTTTACTCTCTCGCGATAATAAAATATCGTCGCTTTGGCTTGCTTTAAATAGTTATATCGATATATAAAGTGGACGCGTGGCTAAATTCGCAAAGCATTTATTTTTACCGATCACCGACCTTTGATCGTTAGAAAGAAAGGGAGTGAGAGAGAGAGAGAGAGAGAGAGAGAGAGAGAGAGAGAGAAGAGAGACGAGAGATTGGGATCGATTAGTCGATGATTAATCACCGACTAACGTGCGACGGATCATGTGAACGATAGATAGTGAGAATTCGTTTGTGCCTTTCGTGGTAAAAATTCGGGGATTGTGCGCGTGGTGGTGCTCGAGAGTGAAATAAAGGGTGGGGGGGAGGGGGAAGGAAATGGATACGTCACCGTCCAAGATACTCTCGCCGAGTTCCTCGGGATCCGGAAAGATCCACTTGGGCGAGGGAATGGCGTTGTCCGGCCTACGGAGAGCGCTCTCTCAAGTGTCGATGCTGGTCGTCAAAGCGACCACGTCGGGGGAAACCGCGTGGAGAGAAGAATTGCAAAAGTATGTTCCATTTCATCCCCAATTCTTTTTATTCCCCTTTCATGCGCTCGATCTAGCGGAACGAGAAATAATCGAGGAAAGAAAGAAAGGAAGGAAGGAAGAGAAACGAGAACTCGTCTCTGTTTCTAACTTTGATTTTTAGATTTTCTAATGAGGATCACGAGAAATAATCGTGCGTTCGAAGAAAGAAAAAAAGAAAGAAAGAAAGAAAGGAAGGAAGAAAGAGAAACGAGAACTCGTCTCTGTTCCTAACTTTGATTTTTAGATTTTCTAATGAGGATCACGGGAACGAGAAATAATCTTGCGTTCGAGGAAAGAAAGAAAGAAAGAAAGAAAGAAAGAAAGAAAGAAAGGAAGGAAGGAAGAGAAACGTGAACTCGTCTCTCTTTCTAACTTTGATTTTTAGATTTTCTAATGAGGATCACGGGAACGAGAAATAATCTTGCGTTCGAGAAAAGAAAGAAAGAAAAAAAGAAAGAAAGAAAGAAAGAAAGAAAGAAAGAAAGAAAAAGAAACGAGAACTCGTCTCTGTTTCTAACTTTGATTTTTAAATTTTCTAATGAGGATCATGAGAAATAATCGTGCGTTCGAAAAAAGAAAGAAAGAAAGAAAAAAAGAAAGAAAGGAAGGAAGAAAGAGAAACGAGAACTCGTCTCTGTTTCTAACTTCGATTTTTAGATTTTCTAATGAGGATCACGGAAATGAGAAATAATCGTGCGTTCGAAGAAAGAAAAAAAGAAAGAAAGTAAGGAAGGAAGGAAGAGAAAGAAGAACTCGTTTCTGTTCGATTTTTAGATTTTCTAATGACAATCTAGCGATCACGTTTCGCGGGAACGAGAAATAATCGTGCGTTCGAGAAAAGAAAGAAAGAAAAGAACTCGTCTCTGTTCGATTTTTAGATTTTGTAATGACGTTCGGCGTCATAAAGCGAATAAAGCGAGTCCAGTTTACAATTGGCCGATTGTTATCCGGTGCACCGTCTCGAAATCAAGATGCAAGATGACCGAATCAAGGACGATTACCAATAGTCGAGTTAAAAGCTCATACGTACCATCCGAGCGGTAACATTCTTTAAACAACAATCTCTCTCTCTCTCTCTCTCTCTCTCAACGGTTTATATCATTACGTTTATTACGGCTAGTTATCATAATCGCAGCCACTTTCTCGTTCGTTCTAAATCGCTCCGTTTTACGAACCGCGCGTAGGTCGATCTTTCGAAACCTCGTGCAAACCCCCTCTGTTTTCCGATCGATCGTTTCTATCGATACGATTGATCGACGAACGTTCTACACTCGGGAAGAAAAGAAAATTACGTTCGTTTTCTCTTAAGAATCGTTTCGATCGATTTCTCAAATCAGTTGCCAGTTTCGAGGAAGAATTGTAAGAGATGGTTGATTTTTTAATGATCGTTCCGGATCAGATCGTTGGCGAGCGTCAAGGTCAAAACTCAGATCGCTCCTCTCGGATTTCAGTGACGTAAAAGCGGAGCGCGCCTCTCGCGAGACGTGAAAATCCCTCGCATTTTCCAGTCGGAACAGGTGTGGAAGTCTTGATCTATTTTCATCTCGGGTCAATATGTCAGGGTTGAAACTGAACCGAACAACACGAATTTAGAACGTCGTTTGCCAGACGAATCGACCAAGCCAAATCGAACAGCGGTCTAGGTCCGTTCAGAAGAAAATCGTTACCAAAAACTCTCTCTCTCCCTCTCTCTCGCGATCGATCACCCTCCTCTTCTCTGAAAATTAAAACACTCCTCCAAATCCATCTTACAATCTCGTCAAATTCATCGATCCATCCATTGAATCTTCTATTCTTATATCCCCTTTCGAAAAAATTCGTCCAATTCTGAAAAATTCATCGTTCGATTTCCACGGCGAGAAGAAGGAGGAGGATAAGAAAGGAAACGAGAAGCGTCATCTTCTCGAACGGAAACATCCTCCTCCTGTTCTCCCTGCGATATTTATTAATTTTGACGTTGAATCTTGGGAGGGGGAGAGGAAGGGAATCCGGGTTGGAGCCGCGACAAAGTCGATCAGGGACGAGGGTAAAAGGAGGCAAGTTCAAAGAGAGAACGGGCGAGGGCACACGGGCATTGCCAACAACTTTAGCGCCTACCCACCACCGCTTATCTTCCTATATCGATGGTCGCGCGCTGCGCAATGCATCGACCGGCTTAGAACTCGCGCGTGCCTCGTTTACCAAATGTCGGGTTTATAGGCGAATTTTCCGCGAGTTCCGCACGCTTATTTCTGGATTTTCGATTCGAGACGAGACGAGACGAGACGAGGCGAGGCGAGGCGAGGCGAGGCGAGCGCGTGCCGCGTCTGGCCGTCGCGCTGGAATTCACCACCCGGAAACTTTGCACGGACAGATTTCCCTTCCCCGAACTCGGTTAATTGAAACGTTGAAGGAAACGAGAAGTTGGAAATTGGAAATTCGAATCACTTGGATCGACGCTTACTTCGATCCTCGAGGCTGGGATATATATTCGCGGCCATTAGCAAAAGTTATTTGAGATTTGGTTGACGTTTCGCGACGTCAAGAGGAGGAGGAGGAGGAGGAGAGTCCGCGTATTATTATCGCAGAGTTCGAGAAAAATTGTGCGTGGAGTTGAACGTTTTCAAATTATATTTGAAATGATCTTTTTTCTTTTTTCATTTCTGCTTTTTGAATTTAAAAGATATCGGTATCGTAAGCAGGATTCGTAATATCGGTAATATTAATAAAAAATATCGGTCTAATTATAAAATCTATCTATCAACGTGAGTTCCTTTTATTCCTTTTTGGAAGGGGGCACGATCGGTTGCCTCCTAAATCCGTCACACAAGGAACATTTGTCTACAATCTCGAGCTCTATTATTACGTTATTATCGATCATCTATTTTACCTTCCATTTCACTTAACGCCAGAAATCTTCTCGCTACTTCGATCGAAATTTACTTAACACTTCCAATCTCTTGCCAACGCTTGTCAGTGATTTTCATCAGTATTATTTTCGATTCTTCGTCGATCGAAATCAAAATTTATTTATTTTATCGAATAGCTCATCCCTCTCGCCGATTTTTCCCAAAACCAATGAATGAATCATACGCGATCGCATTTCGATAAACAAAAGCTCGCGAATAACGTGAGAACCTGTGTCGTCTCAAACACGACATTTCACGGGGGGATAGAATTGGAATCGGTGTATTTTTAGCGAAAGACTCCGAGTTAACTTTAGAAGGGTCGACCGATTAGTTCGTCTCGTACGCGCGCTTGTGTGCGTGTGTTTACGCGCGCGCACGGATTCATTTTCAACCGATAAATAAACCGACCGTACAATTTCAATTTCCACGATACTTTCGACACTCTGTCTCGATCGATTTAACATCAAAGATAACACGGAGGAGGAAACGTTTTTTCTTCGGAGGAGTGACAAATGATCGAAAGTGCGCTACCATATCAAAGCGTGTTCGAATGTATCGACGAAGGAAGCGATCCGAATAAAATCGACCAAATATTTGGACGTGTCGGGTTTCGCGATACTTATTTTCATATCGTGGCGGGTACAGGGCATAGGGCTATAGACACACCGATCCGAAGCGTTCTCTCGTTCTGTTCGCGACAGCTGGTGTACGATTATTGAACTCGATAAAACGATATTCCGATTACTTTCGTTTCGTTTTTTCTTTTTTTTTTTCACGGCAAAGTGGAATCGACTCGCGAGGAAAACGAAGAGAGAGAGAGAGAGAGAGAGAGAGAGAAATTCGATAGAGAACAAATAGGTAGGAAGATATGAAAACTATGCGATGCCGAAAATATAACGGAGGACAAACGAAACGCAATATTCCTCGCGAGTCTGTGTTGCCTTCATCTTTGAAAAATAACTAAAAATACGAGTAGAATTATATATATATATACATATAACCTTTTCAAATAAATTTGCGGTTGCGATTCGATACGAATAATCACGTTCTATTAATTGCTCTTTAAATTTAAATGGAACTATGATTTCTCGTATAGAGCGGAGAGTACAGTATATTGGTGAGAAAATTATTGGCTTGCACACGATGCTCTTTAAAGTTATGCTCTTTTAAGAGCATACCGGCGATAATGATTCATTTAGAGGCGGAGAACTATCAGGACCCGGTCGTCTGTCGATTTTCTGGCGTATTGCCCCGAGGATGGATCGCTCTATCCTGGCGTCGAACGGATGCTCCGATGAATTATGTCCTTTGGCATTAGCCTCGGTGTATTTCAGACCGGTCCATACGACCGTTTTAAACGGCCTTAGAGAAGCCGTGGGAGGCCCCTCTCTCTCTCTCTCTCTCTCTCTCTCTCTCTCTCTCTGCCGGTTCCCGTCTCCGCTCAGCGAAAACGCAACGCTCCGCAACATTTTCTTTCTATCAGGTGTGTTTGAACCGAACCAATCTTGAACCAATCGCTCTCGTTCGAGTGGAAACTCGACGAGTAAAAAAAGAAGCGGAGATGTCAGTGAACTTCTTGGAAAACGGGTCCCAAATTTAGAACGGTCGATCGAGTTCTCTAACGAGAATTTTTCTTTTTTTTTTTTTTTTTTTCGGGGGAACCAGAAATAGGAAGAAGACGTTTGATTTTTTTTTCTTTCTTTCTTTTTCTAACAAAACGACCTCGAAGCGAACGAAATATCCGACGCGGATCCTTCTTACGGTTCGCGTTCTTTTTTTTTTTTAACGAAGATGGAAAAGTTGGAACGACAAAGGGTAAAGAGAGGTTTTCCGCTTTCAGGTACAGGCAGACCAGATTCAGCTCCCGAAGAATACGGAAAAGGGTGGTTTTCAAGCACGGCGATTGCAATGTCGTACAAGGAAATGTCGCCAAGCGACGACGACGTTACCTTCAGGTAATTTTGAGATATTTCTAAAAGCGTATACGGCCGATTGCGACGATTCGACCGATCCAAGGCGATTTTCGCCAACGGGAATCAGACTTTACGCTCCCTTTACGCTCCTCCTTTCGCGCGAGAATACGGTTTTCCGTCGTTTCATTCAACGTTAATAAAGCGAATTCTTGATTCCGTCTCGATCTATTTTCTCGAATCCAATTACTTGCCAAATTGTCGTATATATACGTTCTATAGCGGATCCACTTTGATGCAACTTCTATATTCCGATTCTCTAGAAACGTATATTATTCGACGCGTGGGTTAAAATTACCGCGATTGTTTAACTTTCTCGCTCGTTCTACGATCCTCTATCTCGTTCTAGTCTAGTCCATAAATTTATCTCGATTCTTTTTTCTTTTTTTTTTTTTTTTTCCTTTAACGATCCGCGAAAAAAAGGAAGAAAAGAGAAAACCTTCGAATGCTCGAATCTATCGTTCCCCCCTCGTCGTGTCATTTCTTTTTTTTCTCCATCCGTTTATTTCTTCCCCAGGATATTTTCACGACACTGGTCGACGCACAATGGAGATGGACTCTTCTGGTGTTCTCGATGAACTTCTTGCTCTCGTGGCTAGGTTTCGCCCTGATATGGTGGCTGATCGCTTACAGCCACGGCGACCTCGATCCGGAGAATCACGCCAACTCCAACTCGACCTTCATCCCCTGCATCGAGAACATTCGTGGATTCACCAGCTCGTTCCTCTTCTCGATCGAGACCCAGCACACGATCGGGTGACTAATTATCCAATTCTAATCGTCTCTAAGTCGAGTACGACCGATTTCACGATCGTATCGATATTCGATACGATACCCTCTCCCCCTCGCTTAATTACTCGACTGTTACACGTTCGTTCGATGAACCTTCGATCCCACCCACCAATTCTTCCGTAATTTTTTCTTTCAAAAAATCTAAGAACGATCCAAGTCTAAGAGAGGGGGAGGGAATGGAAGAAACGCGCATGTCATTAAACGTATGTTATTATCGTAAGTTTATACTATATATATATATATATATTCGTACAAATACTTCGACAAGAATCGTCGGATTCCATAGAATATTATCCTCCACTGGATTCCCTTGCATTCGTCCGAGTTTATTCTCTATAAGAAAAAGAGGGGAAAAAATAATAATAACAACTCTCAACTGGGAAAGGAGTGTCTAACCGAAGGGAAAAATATCGTAGGTACGGATCGAAGCACCCTACGGACGAATGTCCCGAGGCGGTGTTCGTGATATGCATCCAGTCGATGACAGGCGTGATACTGCAAGCTTTCATGGTGGGCATAGTTTTCGCCAAACTCTCCCGGCCCAAGAAGAGAACGCAGACGTTGCTGTTCTCGAGGAACGCGGTCATCTGTCAGAGGGACGGCCAACCGTGCCTCATGTTCCGCGTCGGTGACATGAGGAAGAGCCACATAATCGAGGCTCACGTGAGGGCGCAGATGATCAAACGAAAGGTGAGCGAAAGGATTGTTCGAGTTCTCTTACTTCTTCTTCTTCCTCGCGATATCTCGTCGATGGATGAAGAAAGGGGAAGCGGGGAAACGAATGATAATCGATGAGAGCAAGCGTTGAAAACTTTCAGGTGACCAGGGAGGGGGAATTGCTACCTTTCTTCCAAACGGAGCTGAAAGTGGGGAGCGACGGCGAGGAGGACAAGATCTTGTTCATCTGGCCGACGACCATCGTTCACAAGATCGACGAGCAATCTCCCCTCTATCATATATCGGCAAGCGATATGCTGCGCGAACGTTTCGAGATCGTGGTTATATTGGAAGGTATTTCAACGTCGCATAGAAACGAAAGGTCGGATTTGTAAAGGGTTGTAAACGAAAATATGGCTCGTCGATTTCAGGCGTGATCGAGTCGACCGGAATGACCACCCAGGCGAGGAGCTCCTATCTACCCTCTGAGATTTTATGGGGGCACAGGTTCGAACATATAATCACGTTCAAAAAGGAGACGGGGGAGTACGAGGTGAACTACACCCTTTTCAACAATACGTACGAGGTCGATACGCCGTTGTGCTCGGCGGCCGATCTCGATAAAATTAAGGCGATGCAAAGAGCGAAAGGAGGTACGTTACGATCTTTTCTCGACCATTTAAAAATATATTTTATAACCGTACGATACACAACATTACTATTACAACTATAAGTTCAACTTTTACTTTTTTGTTCGCTCCGAAAAGAGAGAGAGAGAGAGAGAGAGAGAGAGAGAGAGAGAGAGAGAGAGAGAGAGAGAGAGAAAAGAATTAATTTCAATCGAAAATTTCTGGTTGGTCCGATTATTTCAGAGCGCATGAGCAACACCGGATTCGCTCATTATCGCGATGCATCGAGCAGTTCTTTGACCACCGGATCCGGTTCCAGCCTGGCGTCGTCCACCGGTGGACTGCACATGAACGTGCCAATGACATCGTTGACTCCGATTCCAGTTATGATCACGAGCCCGGACGGCTCTCTCAGACGCGAGAGCATGCAGAGCGGGCAAACCGAGATGAAACCGCCGATATTTTACACGCATAACGAGGTAATAATTCCCTTCTTTCCCCCTCCTTAAATAATTTTATTATATATAACAAAATTCGAATTTGAGAGGAAAATGTCTTTCGATCGATATTCCAATCTCGAGAAATTGTGATACATGGAATAAATTTTTTCGTTCTCCGCCCAAGTTTTTGGACAACGAGCATTCTTCGAGTTATCCACAAGATGATACCGGAAATCAGGAGGACTACGATCGCGTGTTGGAGGATATAAACGCGACGTTGAGGAAAAGTCGAGCGCCGAGCCAGGAGGCGAGGAGGATGCACAAGGAGCCGTCCAAGACCACGTTGGATTCCAGAAGAAGCGAGTGCAGGGACGCGATAAGAAGATCCAACTCAAGGATAACCATGGATCAAATAATTAATACTCCTCCGAGATCACCCTCGCGACAGCATTTAGAGCCCAGGTATTCTCTATCTATATATATATATATATCTCTTTCCTTTTACTCTCGAGAGAAGAAGAAATCTTTGAAAAATCTTTCGCGATGCGTTCGATTCGCAGAAACGATACTAATCCGACGACGAGGCACACGAAATTCGTGGAATCGACGGAACCTCATTGCGACCCTTCGCCCCATCCTCACCTCTCCCCGAGAAGATACAGCCTGGGCGAGAATCACAGGCCCAGGGATCAACACCAGTCGCCGAAGAAGACCAGTTTCATCCTTGGCGACGACGACCACCACGTGATCGAGATCGATCAAGAGAGAAGTGGGAATTTGATCGCGGGTGACGATCATCGCCACGTGATCGACATCGAATCGGACCCCGTCTCGAAGCTGTCCTCGGCCAGGCAGGAGGCATTGGACGCGTCCAAGACGAACCATCATCACCATCATCATCATCCTCATCATCATCCTCGAAGCAACACCTCAGGTCCTCAGGAGCAAGTGTAGTAGGTGAGCACCGTCGGTCTTCGCTCTTATAAGCCCTCCGCTCGCCGTCTCCGCTCCCACGTATCTGCCTGCGTACGATTTGCGTCAGCAAGCCCCAAGGAAGGGAGGGGAAATAAAATCCGCAACGAGTTAATCGCCGTTATGTTTCCGTTTCCATGACGATCCGCCGCGAAATTGAAAAGGAACGCGATTTCGCTCGGCCAATTTCGCTCCGAGGATCAATTACTCGGCGGGCGATTTGGAACGATCGTTCCAAACGACTCGACTTCACCGTGGAGCTGGGCTCGTAAATTGTTCTAACTGGGGCACAAAGACCTCATGCCGAGTGCTTTTCATACGTACGGGGTTGGCTTAAATTCGCCCAACCAATCGGCCAAGCATCGTCCCGTTTCTTTCTCTTCTCTTCTTCTTCTTCTTCTTTTTCTTCTTTTAGTTTGAACTAGCTCGTAACTAAACTTTTGAGTCAGGAGGCACGAGAATGAGTCAAAAGTTCGTGTTCTTTTCGAGAATCGTTCCAAAATGTAAATAATAAGTCGCGATGGATCGAAAGATCGGAATCGATGGATCTTGTTCCTCCTCCGCGAGTTCTAACTCGTAACTAAACTTTTGAGTCAGAAGGCACGAGAATGAATCAAAAATTCGTGTTCTTTTCGAGAATCGTTCCAAGATATAAATAATAAGTCGTGATGGATCGGAATTGATGGATATCTGGTTCCTCCTCCGCGAGTTCGAACTCGTAACTAAACTTTTGAGGAGGCACGAGAATGAGTCAAAAGATTCTTTTCGAGAATCGTTCCAAGATGTAAATAATAAATCGCGATGGATCGAAAGATCGGAATCGATGGTTCCTCCTTCGCGAGTTCGAACTCGTAACTAAACTTTTGAATCAGGAGGCACGAGAATGAGTCAAAAGTTCGTGTTCTTTTCGAGAATCGTTCCAAGATGTAAATAATAAATCGCGATGGATCGGAATTGATGGATATCTGGTTCCTCCTCCGCGAATTCTAACTCGTAACTAAATTTTTGAGTCAGGAGGCACGAGAATCGTTCTTTTCGAGAATCGTTCCAAGATGTAAATAATTACGCGATGGATCGAAAGATCGGAATCGATGGTTCCTCCTTCGCGAGTTCTAACTCGTAACTAAACTTTTGAGTCACGAGGCACGAGAATGAGTCAAAAATTCGTGTTCTTTTCGAGAATCGTTCCAAGATGTAAATAATAAATCGCGATGGATCGAAAGATCGGAATCGATGGATATCTGGTTCCTCCTCGGCGAGTTCATTTTACGCAGAACAGGTGTCAGCCGATTCAGAGAGATACGATCGGAAACGGAGATCAAGTTTCGCGGCGGCAACAAGTTGCTCTCCGTGGAAAGGTCGGTCGGTTTCTGGCCTTTGGAAAGAAAAAGAAAGAAAAAGAAGAAAGAAACATACGTGGTTAAATTCCATTGATCGCCTTGTTCGAGCGAATTGCGTAAACTTTGTGGAGGAAATTAAAAAATCGAGGCTACGCGCCTCCTCGATTCGAGCGTGCGCCATCTGGACGAGAGTCTTAAACGAGTCCGGAAATCGCCGGTTAAGTAACACGATCTTAATGGCGATACACGCCAAAAGAAATTATCCCTTTCATTCAATTTAAACATGCGATTCTCATCGAGAGAGAGAGAGAGAGAACAAACCACGCGACGAATCGGACGTTTGCCATTCCAACGGACAAACCTTCGCCCTGCCTTTCTCTTTATTAGACACTCAAACTCTTTAAGATAATTTAACTCTTTAAGGTAAATCTTAGCCCAAAGAACATCCTGCCTTTCTTTCAATTGGATTTCTTTCAACGATTCATCAAACTCTCTTTATCTTTTGAGATAATTATTTCACGCGAGAAGGTAAATCTGGACCCAACGAGCATTCTGCCTTTCTTTCTATTGGATACTCTAACGATTATCAAGCTCTCTTTATTCTTTAAGATAATTATTTCACGTGAGAAGATAAATCTCGAGCGTCTTGTCTTTCTTTCTATTTGATATTTTAAAAATTATTAAATTTTCTTTATTATTTAAGATAATTATTTCTCTCACTCGAAAAGGTAAATCTCAGCCCAAAGAGCACTCTGTCTTTTTTTCTATTGAATATTCTAACGATTATCAAATTCTCTTTATCCTTTAAGATATTCGTTTTGGATAAATTTTAGCCGAGCATCTTGTCTTTCTTTCTATAGGACGATTATCAAACTCTTTTTACTTTTTAAGATAATCGTTTCAGGTAAATCTCGACCCAACGCCCTGCCTCTCTTTCTATTGGACGCTTTAACGATTATTAAACTCTCTTTACCCTTTAAAATAATCGTTTCAAATAAATCTCGACCCAATTCGAACGCCTTTTTTCTTCTTGGACGCTCAACGATTCATCAAACTCTCTTTATTCTTTAAGCTAATTATTTCACGCGAGAAATCTCGACCCAACTCCGCTTTCTATTGGATACTTAAACTTAATTATTAAACTCTCTTTATTCATTAAGATAATTATTTCACGCGAGAAGATAAATCTCGAGTCAAGTCGAGCGCCTTGTCTTTCTTTCTATTGACACTAATTATACACTAACAATTATTAAACTCTCTTTATTCATTAAGATAATTATTTCACGCGAGAAGATAAATCTCGAGTCAAGTCGAGCGCCTTGTCTTTCTTTCTATTGACTACACTAACGATTATTAAACTCTCTTTATTTATTCATTAAGATAATTATTTATCTTATACTCGCGAGAAGGCGAGATCTCGGCCAAGGAGCGTTGAAAGGAATTGGACCAATCTTTTCCGTTATCAAACTTTCCATCCGTTTATTCCATAAGATGTAGGTAAACACGTTTCAAACTCTGAAGAAAACTCTTCAGCTCCTCGGTTTTTCTGCGGATATTTAGAGCTGAAGGTAATTGGGAGCGAGGGTATATATATACACCGTGTATATTTCCACGTTATGATGCAACACGCGATGGCTGAAGGGCAGATGGATGAGCAGAGGATTAAGTGGATTCAGAGAGTGTCGTAGGTTAGACGACACGACACGACAGGATGAGTTTAGTGGCGGGAAGTGCCCTCGTTATCACGCCAGTCAATTGTTTAATCTCAGCCCGGCCTCTTCCCCTCTATGCTTCTTCTTCTGGGCCAGGTTTCTATACGTACACACGCGCGCGCACGCGCACACACACACATATATATATATATATACGCGCGCGCGCGAGAACCATGACACCGCGCAAAACACGCTAAACCGGCTATCAAGTTCCTCGAGCACGTACCTTCTTGCAAGTACGCAGTCCGTGTCCTTGTTTTCGAGACACATTTCACCTACCTTGTAAGCTCGCCAGCTTGCCTAGAAGCTGTTCCCTTGGATCGAAAGTGAAAGTGCGAACGTTACCGCTCGCAAGAGATCAAGATTTTTATCTTTGCTCGAACGATTTGTCTTCAAACGATTTGTCTGGAATCGAACAAAATTTTAATCGGGTTTTTTGAAATGAGGATTTATATCTTTTCGACGGAAATAATTTCTTTTATTTTCTCGAGCGATTCTTTCGATCATGCGTAAATATAGATATCGAGGTTAAAAATAATCCAAAGGATGATTATAAATTAGCGTTAAATTTATGAGGAGCGCAACGATGAAACGATAATTCTTTCATCGTAAAAAGAAATGAGCGTAAAATCTCCTATCTTATCCTTTCAGGATCTAGAAAAAAATGTCCTCTCGCGATATATAATCAATAATACTCGTCGAGGAGAGTTATAAATTTGTTCATTTAGATTTTGTATTATAAAAGACATCTATGCTCTATGGGATCACGTCATTGATCATTACGCATTACGTCAAATTTATCAGGTGGAATTATGCTTCTTGATTTCTTTTTTTTTTCCTTTCTTTTATTCTGCAACCGAGAATAATATCGCGCAACGATGAAACGATAACTCTTTTATCGTAAAAAAAATGAATATCGTAAAATTTTCTATCCTATTCTTTCAGGATCTAGAAAAAAATGTTCTCTCGCGATATATAACGTTCTCGAGAAGAGTTATATATTTGTTCATTTAAATTTTGTATTATAAAAGAGATCTATGGGAATCTATCTATGGGATCACTATCATTGACTGTCACGTTGTTGATTGTTTGTTCTGCAACCGATATTATAATAATATCACACAATGATGAAACGATAACTCTTTTATAAAAAAAAATGAACTGAAATAAAATTTTCTATCCTATTCTTTGAGGATCTAGAAAAAAAAATGTTCTCTCGCGATATATAATCAATAATCGCTCGTCGAGGAGAGTTATATATCTCTTCATTTAGATTTTGTATTATAAAAGAGATCTGCTCTATCTATGGGATCACTGTCATTGACTGTCACATTGTTGATTGTCTGTTCTGCAACTGAAAATAATATCGCATAATGATGAAACGATAACTCTTTTATCGTAAAAAAAAATGAACTGAAATAAAATTTTCTATCCTATTCTTTTAGGATCTAGAAAAAAAAATGTCCTCTCGCGATATATAATCAATAATCGCTCGTCGAGGAGAGTTATATATCTCTTCATTTAGATTTTGTATTATAAAAGAGATCTATCTATGGGATCATTGACCATTACGCATTACGTCAGATTTACCGGGTGGAATTATGCTTCTTGATTTCTTTTTTTTTTTTTTTCCCCTCCTTCTGTTCCGCAACCGAGTTATCGCGGAATCCCTCCTTTTCTTATTCAAAACAGCCATTGTTTCGTGGTCGACAATGAACAGTGTCTAGAATGACAGCGCGTTGCACGAGAATAGAAAAACGGCGAAGCGTATCACCTTGCAACGCGAATTGCGACATCCTCTGGAACTGTCCTCGAACTGATATACTGATTATACTCGCGCTAGGTTTACGAACGATGATTCGCATTCGCGCCTCCAATTCTAATTCTTGGATCGATAATTCTTTTATCTTCGAGCAAAACGAATTCGTGTAAA